CAAAAGCTGTTGTTCGTAAGGCTATTGCCTTACAGAACAACAGCTATTGTAGCACTGACGAAAGTCACAGGGCAATACCACAACTGGATGGTTGGCAGAAATCGGTAGCAAACTCTTCTGAAAGGAAAAGAACCCACACTACATTAATTAAGCCGGAGACTAAGACATATGAGATAATCACAAAATTTACTCCTGTCCCAATTAATTTTAACACTATGAAGATCCGATGAGTTTTCATGAACATTTTCTTAATATGTGCGTGGAGGTTGTCTCCAACACTTCCTCATTCAAACTGCTACACTTTCTAACCACCTTAGGTTCTGGGTGTGTGTGTGTTAGTTACTAGTTGTCAAGGCACTTGTCAAAAGACACTTGGTCTTATTTTTGTGTGTACTCACCTAATTGTGGTTCCAGGGGTCGAGTCATACCTGTGTGTGTGTGGGGGGATATGTCATCTGATATGTTGACAAGATATAGCAAGTTAGAACACTGCATTCAAGCAATGAATGCGACACGGGGTCCCAGAACGACAGGTGGGTCACCATTAAGAAGCAGAGGGCTCGCAATTCACGATCTTCCCCATTTATTCAATCTAAACTTGTTGCTATCAGATGTCAGACCCAGTCCTAATTATATACGAGAGGAGATGCCTGTATCATAAATTATCCATATTACAAAATGAACACAATAACTAATCATGCATTCGTAAGACATACAGGTGCAGGCGAGAGGGAGCTAATGGCAAATGTTCTTCAATCGTATAAAAATAAGGTTTGCACCAAAATATTGCCAGATTTTTGGACTACTTTTAATAAGATTAACTATTCGATTTTCTGTAATATGCTCCACGAAAATGACATACCAAACCCCTAGAGTAACAGACAACTGTTGCTTGTGAACCACTGCTGTTACCAGTGACTTCTGCCTACGGCTACCTCCCACCTCAACAAATATTATTCAGGGTATATTTGCTGATGTATATAAACCTGTGTGGCACCGACGAATCCACAAGGAGAAAGGA